GTTTCATCTGCATATTGCATCAGCGAAGGTAGTTGTAATTCTAATCTTTTTAAGTCGCCTGACTTCAAATCTTCCTAACCCCTTACCCAACCAATAGGTATCTTTCAGCGGACTTCCTACTAATTTACAAAAAGCTATTCTACTAGATTAATAAATATTTCCTCAGTCGGTAACCCTTGGTTGCTCTGGGTAGCTGGTTTTAATCGCAGTTGTAGTATTTGAAGTCATCTCTGTAGCTACAAGGTGTTTTGAAACCTAGTTGCAATACTCCATGAAGTCCATTGGCTTCTATCGTAGTGTTCCTCTGAGTTCTAAACACTTCTGATTATGGTAGGGTGGATGTGAATATATTGGCCTCTCATTGAGATGTTTTACTATTTAATACCATCTCTTCGTGCGAAAACGTAGTGTTACCTACTGCTCATGCCAACGATATTACATCTTTGAAGACTAGTAACTCACTGAGTAGTTAACGGATTTACTCCGTTCCACTTCTTAGTCCTAGCTGAAGGTCCACTCTCATATATCCTACGACCAAGATCTGATCAGAAGAATGCCGGCAACATATATGGTGTTATTCTGATACCTTTAATTCTTTGGTATTATAGTCACAGGACCCAACTGAGATTGATATGTATGATGACGTGCTGGCTCTATAAGGAGGGTGTTGGAGACGAGAGATTTCAATTCTGAGTGAGTTTACTCTACTTAGGGTGATTCTTAGATATGGGATCCCAGTATTCCTAATACTAGTTAACAATATCTTACTTACCGAAGAAGGATGTGGTGATTTTCAGAGTCTCCTGGTGTTCACAACTTTGGAGAATACTCAATATTACGAGTTATAATCAGAGAGGTACATAGTGGTATAATAGATAGAAGTAGTCCGTAAACACACAGCTATAGAATATAAATATAGAAGTGCCTTCCAAGCTTTTAAATATCATCAAGCAAATGGAGAAGAGACCTTAACAATATAATATTATTTTTACGATTCTATTTGACTTTACCTATTTTACTTTGCTCTTAGTAGTCATAAACGAATGGAGTGAAGCTGAGCCTTTCTAGACAATCTCTGTCTACAGAAATGAATCTTGGTTGGCGTAGACAAATCCAAAGTCTATTAGGTTGTCTCCGCCTAATAGGATCTACAATTCGCTTACACAAAATAGTAGATCAGAAGATGCAGTATGAGATGCAGCAAGAATTGAATTCATATGAGGTAATATATTGGTACCGAGTGTGAAGTCTGAGCTCATTAAGTCTTTCCAGGTATTGGCAGAGTGCAAGCTCTTGATCAGCAGCTAATTTTCGATTTAGTACCTCTCATTGTTGGCGAGATTCATGGTCATTCTATTGTGCATGGAAACTATATTGGAGTAGGCAATTCTCTCTTACTAGTACTAAAATATTTGGTTTTTCTTTTTCCTTAATTTGATCCAGTACTTGCTTGATTCTTGCTTCTATATCAATATAGATTTCACTTTGCATGATGGCATCAAGATTGAATAATCCTATGAAAGATATTGTAAATTATGATATACTGAAAATTCTTTCGTTAAGGTAATTCTATTGTTGAGCTATTTGGTACTCCTAAGAAGTACCACCAACTTGAAAGATCACTTAGCTTCATTCAGAGTGGTGAGAACCGGTGCAATTAGTGGTTCCTGTTGTCCAGTTCTTCTAAGAAAGAGTCCAGTCAACAAAAGATGGGACTGGATGGGGCGATGGCAGTCAGACATGCTAGCACTGGATGTAACATTCCTAAATTCCTGTTAATATATATATAGCGACGGGCAATGATACCTTTTCTCAATATGTGTATATATATATATATATATCTTCTTCCTTTGATAGTTCTTAGGCCCTTTAGTATAATTATATTCCAACACTCACTTGGGTAGTGCCTCTAGTTGTCACATATTGAGATATTGCCCTTAGGCTCGTAAGAAGTGTAAAGTATAAAGAGCGTAAAGATCTTTTATTCGTATAAAGTAATAAGTAAGGAAATTACTTAAAACAAAGTATGAAGAGCTTATCCTTCTTGGCTGTACCAGTCTCGTTATATAGTGCTCTTCTTGCCAATCCTAACCCTGATGACTCAAAACTATAAGTCATGTAAAATCCTCATAAACAAATCATATGACTCGAGTAAGTTGTATGCACAAAATTCTTGACTTATAATCACGTCATATGCAAAACATAACAAAATTTAACCATAATGTAAACAAGTCATATGTACAAAACCCATGACCCATAATCAAGTATTGTACAAAATATAACAAATTATAAAATAAACAAATCATATGACTCAAGTGAGTCATATGTACAAGACCCATGACTTATAATCGAGTCATGTGCAAAATATAACAAATCATAACATAAACAAGTCATATGACTTGGGTGAGTCATATGTATGAGACCCATGACTTATAATCAAGTTATGAGCGAAATCCTGTTACATCTGCGACACTGGGTTTTCTTTTATGGATACCATAATATTACTCTATTGAATTTTTGTTTATTTATTCACTTACTAATTTTACATTTTTTTTTTACATTTTTTATTTTAACTTGTTGTGGTATCATATTATCATACCAGTGTGTGTCTTAACTGGGTGCAGTGGCCAATTATAGTCGGCTGCCGTCCAACGGGGTCAGTCCAGTCCCGTCCAGTGTCGTCGGACTGGACGACTGGGAGCACTGAGATTCTTACCGCTTCATCTCAGAACTTTCCATAACTTCGACTCCGCAGCAAACCAATCCGCTAACAAAGCGTCCACCGTCCAGAGAACAAGCCGGTCACTAACCCAGGAATAAATGATCCACCCCACCCCGGATCCTCCGCGGATCCACCGCCCGTCTCCGGTCCCACCGAGCCACCCGCGCGAAACACCCCATGCCACCTGGCTCCCGCCAGCCCCCACCTGCCCGATGAAGCAAAGTGAAGCAAAGCTTAAAAGAGCACGGGGCGAGGGGGGTGAGCGGCTACACATCTCATCGGTACCAGTAGTTGGGATACTTTTTTCTCTTTTCTCACTCACCATAGTATTTACACAAACATCTCCTCACCTCATCGCCTTCCCTTCCTCCTCCTCCTTCTCCCGCTGCCGTTGCCCATCTCTCTCACCGGTACTGTGCAAGGGCAACAAGTAGTAGAGATGGAACAGTACATCAAAAACACACTAATGTACACCTTCTCCCGCACAGAGGAGGGCCAAGAAGAACTAGCTGCGCTGGTTGCGATATCCGTTCTTGCGGGCGTGCTCGCCGTGTGCTTTAATTACTCGGTCGAGTTACTGATCGCACTACTTGTCGTTGAGCACCCAGTGACCGGATTACCTACTTCTTCTCCTCCCTCTTCGTCCTTGGCGCCGCCGACCCCACCAAGGAGTAGGAGCCGAAGATCCCGTCGGGATCGGGAACCGGGAGGAGATGAGGAGACACAGCCCTTGGTCCTCCGAAGCGAAAAGGTGTTTGTCACAGACAGCGTCGCGGGGACTATTAGACATTTACGCAGGATTGGTGGTCGGACTGCGCCTTGGAGAGGGTTCATCGGAGCCATGGCACTTTCTTTCTTCGATGGAACGGTCGGGAACTTTGTCATCCCGAAACTGCAGTACTGGGCCGGAAGTGAAGTCGCTGGAAGGGTTCTCGGCGGGACACTATCCTTGATAGCAGTCTCAAGGCTGAGTTTGACTATCCTCTAGTTCGTTCCCCTCCCATAAATAAAATAGGAATAAACAGTACTAATCAACAAAACCCCAGCATCCAAATCTCACACCCCCAACCAACAACCTGGCTAATCCGCTACGCCAACACCCCCGGCACCTCTGTCCTGGCAACCATCCCCTCTGTAATCCTCAACGGCCTGCTCACCCTAACAACCCTCGAACTCCCCTTCCTCAAATACCCACCGCACTACACTTACCTCCCGTACATCCTAACCCCCCTCTTAACCCTCTTCCTCGTCATCCCCTCCTACCTCGCCCTCACACGCGTCCGCGCATCGCTCCTGGAGCCGCATGTAGACCCAATCATACCCATCCGCAGAGTCAAAGGCGGAGTAAGCCTCTGGAAGGCGTTCGCCCAAGTGCCGTATGCTAGGCTGGCGTGGTTCGTACTCAAGGGGCTGCCGGTGTGGCTGGTAGTCAACGGGGCTTTGTACGGCGTTGTCGCCGCGGCGTATGTGTGGGTTTATGGCGCTGACGGGTGGATCCAGGGATTGGTGGTTTTTAGCATGGTCTGCTTGACTGTGAGATTTAGGTTGTGATCCATCGGTCAACCCACTGATGGTAGTGGGGCGAAGGAGGAGGTCATGGGGAAGAAGAAGGAAGGAAGAGGAGTTTCTTACGAATGGGCGTTTGGAAATGACATTTTCACCATTACTGCTTCTTATTTGTGTTTATTCATTCGTTTGTTTGTTGTCTTCTGGTTGTTTGCAATGTCGTTAGATCGAGATATTAGGTATTTACAGTACTAGTACGCATGAAGCGGGTTTTAACATGTGGATGGGTAAGAAACGGGAGTAATGTACCGTACGGTATTCGAGCATTGGACTAGAGTAAATGGAAAAGTGAATCAGTTAAGAACGCGCCGGGGTAGGAGAAATCTGGAAATCTCAGCTGACGTCCAACAGTAGGAAGAGGAAACCTGGAAGAGCACACAGTATATTATATTTGCCCTCTTTGGGCCGAACCCGGGGATGCGATTTTGTCGAAAACTCTATAGCGAGGGTCCGGGCAGGGTCCACGGATACGGCCTGTTCCAGCGTCGCAAGTATGATACGCGCAGTGCAGTACCGGTACCCACACAGAAGATACTGTACTTGTACGGTGGGCACCGCAAACAAACCATGACCAATCAGACTGCAAAGACTTGCCAAATTCTTCGACGTAGGAACAGACTGCAGGTCTGTTCCACTCCATACCATACACTGAACCACTACTACAGCACCGCGATCACGGCCCAACGGGTGCGATAACCCCCTGAGTGAGTACTAGTGGTCGTAAATTAAATTCCTATACCAACAACACTCCCATTAGCAGTACCGGTACATCATCTCCTTGTATCTGTTCAATTCTATATCTTCACTCCCATCCGCCTGTCCAAGGAATAGGGAGGAATTTCAACATCAAAATATCATAAGATAAGAAAGACAGAGCTCAACTCAAATATAGCGAAAGACACAAACCGTTGGCACCCCACCAAATGCAAGTTCAAACAAAAAACCCATCACATGAGAAAAGAGGAATAGTGACAGGACAATTCTTTTTTTGTTTTGAGAAATGATTTCCCGGCTGTACCGTACCATGTGAATCCGCCTTACAAATAATAAACGGAGAACGGGGGAGGAGAGGGAGGAAAAAGTTAGAAGTAACAAGCAGAACCCTTTGATATCTCCGAAAATGAAAAGAAAAAGGTGTGAAAATGAAAAATAAAACACATGATGGAACCATAAACTTTGGCAATACCCCTCTCCCCCAAAAAAACCCCATTTACTGAATATAGTGATCAAAATATTTGGTAAGCTTGATTTTGAGCCTGTCCTACTGGCCACTGCTTATTCCATTAGGACCGCTTGAACCAATGGCGTTACCAGATCCGACAAATGAGAGACCTCCTCCTGAGCTCATAATGCCAACAGGCGGCTGCTTCTTCTTCTCCCTCATTTCTGGCTGGCGTGCGCCCTCAAATCCGATCCCAATTGTGCCCTGCACGTACTCCTGTTCGCGTCCCCTCTCGCGTTCCTTTTCACTACCTTGACCACGAGCACATCTCTCTCTGCTATCATTTCGATCTGACGCCGAGCGCCCCGTAGGTTCAGTGTTCGATCGGTATTGAGCTTGGCGGGAGGACCTTGAATGCGGTAACTGGCTGCCTCTGGACGAATCACCTGAGCAGTAATAGTTCACCTCCTCAAGTCTTCCAGAACCGGGACCGTGCGAGCTTGTACGGGTTGGAAAAGGTGCCTGTTGCAGCGAGGCCGGAGGTACGCGATGCTCGCGATCAGACCGTTCTCTTTCAGTACCTCGTTCACTTGAGCTGCGCTCAGTAGTAGAGGTTCTTCTCCCGGGAGTGTGTTGACCACGTGATGATGGACGCGGTGGAGCCGGAGACTCTCGGTGGACGGGGGCGGGGCTGATCAATTGCGAGGATCTTGAGGATCGATTGAGAGGTTTGTCGAGAATAATATGAGCCCAAGCTTCGAGGTCCACATTGGTCTGCTTGGCCGCCCTCATAAATGATTCTTCCTATCGGCTCACAAAAAGCTGTTTAGCAAATTACCACTAAGTATCTTCTCGAATGCGCGATAGCTTACCAGAAGTTCTTGAGGGCTAGGCCTCTGCTCCGGATCCTTGATCAAACAGTGCTCAATCATCTTCTCCAAACTAGGAGGGAATGCCTTGTTTTTTGGCAATTTGGGCGCAGGCTCGTTGACGATCTTCTGAAGCAAATCAAGAATACCCATTGGCCCAGCACTGGCCCGGGTCCCAGCACTTGTACCGTCTGCGTCAAAAGGAAACCTCCCAATGGCCAACTCCAACAGGGTCAGTCCCAAGCTCCATACATCTGATTTGACAGAGTACTTGGCTCCTTTGATTCGCTCTGGGGACATGTAAGTTGAAGTACCGACAAACGTATCGGCGATCGAGTTGATTAATTCTCCAGAAACACCAAAGTCACACAGCTTGATGGAGCCTCGAGAGTTGACCAAGATATTTGAGGGTTTGACATCTCGGTGCAAGATTCGATGGACATTATAGAGGTAATTTAATCCTTCCACAACGGCCTCCGAGATCTTTCCAAGAACATCGATGCGAATCGGGCCAATCTTTTTAGCGATACCATCAAGAGATCTGTGATATTATACCATGTCAGTGAATGTATTCACAAGGCGCGGCACACACAGCCCAATGAGGGGTTAATATCTGACCCGCAATCCATGTATTCCATGCACATAACCACATCCCCTTCATTGAGGAAGGCACCGTAAAAAGACACAATATAAGGGGAGTGACATTCCTGCATGATGTGTAGTTCGCGAACGATCTGCTTCCGAACCGACGGCTTAGCGTCTATGTGGATGACCTTCACCAATTTGTTAATATAATTCTATAGGAAATCAACACGGCTGGGGGCCGAGATGACGAACCTTTTTTGCCATTAAAGCTTTTGTTGGAGCATGGATGACTTTGCTAACAGTCCCTCCGTTCCCCGCACCTAATTCATTCACCACCTTCAAATCCTCCGCACGTAAATCCAGCTTAAACTCGACACCGATTTCAAGAGTGCTGAGTTGATCACTTAGTTGGTCATTGTGGGCATAGTATCTACTCCCGTTTCCGCCAGGAGCCTGGGTGTCTGGGACAGAAGGGGCTGCGGCAGGAGCTCCACCACCTCCTCCTCCACCGAGCTTTAGCCCCTTAACATTCTTTCTCTTGAGCGATTTGCCTTTAAAGCCAGGTTCCTCGGTCATTGTGTTGTGATTTAAGGAGTGTTGGGCGGAGGTGGATGGGGGAGTGGAAGGTTAGGATGAAAGGAGGAAAGAAAAAAAGTGAGTACGAGTACTAGTCGCAGCTCGTGTGTCCGAGGGGGGGGGTTGGAAACGGTAGGGCTCAGGAGAACCTGCTGTCGACAAATACCAGACGCAGGGAAGGTAAGGACCTTTGAGAAATGATGAGGGGGAGGGGTAGTTGAACCCTCAGTGTCAGAGGAGGGGGGTGGGAGAGAAAGGAGGAAGGGAGGAGGGATGAGTTGATAATTGACGATCCTTGTTGGCCAGGGCCTCCGTTGCTGTAACTTGCCAAAGTTTCCAAAAGGAGCAACGCGAGGGGCGCGCGGAGCCGTGGTTTCTACCGGTGCTTCACAATCGCTTCAAGTAAATCGAAGAGAAAAATAGGCTGCTAGCGAAAACGGGCGAAATGATAGAAAACACTCTCTACCGCCCACTGGTAATGTAACACTACTGTGGGAGGGCAGATATCAAATCAACTCAAAAGGAGTGTATGTGGTGAATAGTAAGGGGGGAGCAGAGTCGAGTAGAATGGAGAAGAGCAATAGAGCACGGTAAAGGTATCGTGGAGAGAATCACTCAAAAGCTACTCTAACGGAAGAATGGAAGGACGCAGGAGCAATAAATAGATGAAAAGGAGAGGAGCTAACGCAAAGTACTGGTACGGGAGAGAGAGCGTCTATAGGATGTAGAACGAGCGGCGAGGATAGTCGAGAGATAAGGTAAACAGACAGATGACAAAAAAAAAGAAAAGAAAAAAAAAAGGGAGAGTGAATAAACTAAGTCTGAAGAAGACTCCCTATTCAACCAGTCGTTCAGGGGTGATGTTCGAGCCACCCGATTGCCCCTCAATTGCTGAGGAAAAGTACCTTCACAGCCCAATATATACAGTAGAGGTACCTGTTCTGCGCTCTTTTGTAGGTATTGTTTTTGTAGGGGGGGGTGTATGGAGCAATTTCCATGTGGCAGCCTTGTTGAACATTCTGCTCGTGTACTCGTACTGTACTCGTACAGTACCGTACTAGTCCTGGTATGTGTTTGAGATAAAAATGGGATGACAGAAGCGCCCCGAAAGCCAGTCAAAGAAAGGCGAATTGGAAAGGGGCCAAGACAAAAACAAGACATGTCTGGAATGGCCAGGGTGGAGGGAGAGACAAGTAAACCAACACGAAGGAAGTGGCAGTGAGCTATTCTAGGAAATCCTTCTCACCCTTTTCCCATTATTATCGCATCGTACATACCGTAACTGTCCGTGGACTCGCAAAACCAAATACGCCAGGCTCGAGATCCTCTGATAACGTACAGTGCTCACTGGCCTGCCGTGCCCTGTACTCGAGTATGTTGGGTAAGGTTTGTGAGTATATAAAGAAAAGAAGGAAAAAAAAAAGAAGGCGGGTGGGGCCAACTTCCAGCAAACTGGGCAAGTTATGCCGGTCTGAAAAGTACTCGTAGCCACTGGGTAGTTGGTGGTACCGGTACTTATACAATACCCAAGCAGGACAGTAGCATCATAGACTATTCAAGGACAAATAATTTATGCACCCAGAGACCAATTTAGATGATTAGAACCAAAACGGGATATTTCTATGAATCAAATCTAATCGTTGGTATTCTCCCGGCGCTTTTGTTCGCAGAGCGTTCAGAGGTATAGATATAGAATCTCACATGTGCATACTTGTATCATTTCCGGTATGTGTGCTAGAAGATGTTTCCTCGATTTTTGTTCCCAGAGTCGATTTGAGGGGAGATGTCTCATTCGTTTTCTATGCGTGAGTAATAAAAATTTTCCTTTCCTTTACCCGAACAACAAACATATATCCCGCCGTCATATCCGCCGCTTGGAAATGTGATCTCTCATTGCATCGTGCTGGATGTTGTGCTGTGATTTGGCGACCAAGTTTCCAATATCTCATGGAAAAGAGCAGGCGCATCCTGAGGGTTTTGGACGTTGTAGAGTTATGATACCTCAAACCTCAGGTCGGGACATCATCGATACTCGAGAACCACAATCACGTGACCCAAAGGCTTGCCACAGAGAAGTTTGTTCGAGCCACAATTGCTGTACGAGTACGAGCACTCTATGATACTGCACAGGTAAGTTATTATCATACTTGAGTATGATATACTCGAGTATCATACTTGTATTGCACAAGGTCTGGAAAGAAGTTATGGAACAGTTATTTCGGGTTTGCCAACCAAATAATATATGATACCCCTGTCTGTTCCGGTTAATGGTTTCCTACTCATGTGCACCCCAAAACGCCAATAACGATCTTGGCGCGATTGATGTTCAACGCGTCTCTCGTCGCGTCCTGTTTCGTCCTTGACTGGACAATTCGGGTATCAAACTCCCCTCCTCCACCAACCCCGCAACGAATGCGCTGCGCTCCTTCACAAAATATATATTCAACCGGAGTGGCCCATCATGTCTTCTCTAAGATCACCTACTGCTACGCCTATAGCAATGTCTCCCCCCGGCACACCTTTACGGGATGGTTCTGTTTCGCCTGTTCTTACGCCTAAATCAAAAGTTGAGGCAATGCTGGCAGCGATGGAACCTACTGATGAGGAGAGCGATGGGAATGGCGACACTGCAGATGAAGAAGATAGTGAGATCGAATTGGACTACAAGCCAAAAGGCAAACTTGCAAGTCGAATGATGCCATGTACATCCGGCGCAAAGGCTACCAATCCCACCCCCACCACCGAAAATAACACAGCAGGCGACGATAATGCATATGAGCGTGTGAAGCGGAGCTTATTGGCGAGTAAGGAGACGGCCTCAAGAGACTCGATTTCGGATGAGGAATCGGGTAATGAAGAAGACGAGTCAGCATCTTCTTCGAGGGCTCTCATGCAGACCGACGATGACGACGACGACCTCCCTATTCTTACACCAAGGCAGAAACGAACCCCAAAGGCACCTCCAAAGGCATCCCCAAAGACCACTTCTGCACGATCTACAGAATCCCCCAAACAAAAGGGCCCATCACGGTCAAAAAGCACTACTCCTGTATCGGCCAGTGAGACCGAGGGAGAAGATGGGGGTGGTGTCCATAACTTTCTTGCAACAAATCCGAAGAAGAAGGCCAAATTCTTGGAATTGGTCGAGAAGAAGCGGAAGGAACGGCAAGCAGCGGAGGTGGAGAGACAGAAACTGGAGGAAGAAAAGAGGATGAAGAGGAAACAACTTGACGCTCAGTTGGGATGTGGATCTGGGGACGAAGAAGAAGAAGACGATGATGATTTGGGGGTTTTGTCACAAAAACCTCCGAGGCGGAAGTCCGGGAAGAAGGCATTGGAAGAGATGCATCGGGAGTCTCAGAGGATGGCTAGAAATATGCATCTCGAGCATCAAGCACGGACAAAGAAAACAATTACCAAACAGAGTCTCTTCGAGAAGTTTAACTTTAGGACTCCTGCTGAAAAACAAGATGGAAGCAGAAAGGATAGAGTGCCTGTTGACCCAAACTCAAGGTATGGATTACCATTCCAATTTATTTCAAATATAGTAATACCTAGCTTCAGTTCAATTGTTACCGGATCTGAAACCGAGCCTGCAGACCAGTCCAGTCCCAACTCCTCCCCATTGCCGGAAGTAGACGGGAGGTCTGCGGATGTCGCAACAGGTGCTATGGATATTGATGATGAAAGCCCATCGACTAGTGAGGGGCTAGTGCAGTGTGAATCCGGCCGGGTGGGTACAGATGGTTCTACTACGGTTCCTAAGCTCGACAAAGGGAAAGGGAAAGCTCGGGCTACTTTGGAAGGGCTTGATGAGGAAGAAGCAAGCTCCACACTCGCACTTAATATAGGGAAGGGCAAAGCTATTGAGGTCAGATCCTTGGCGCTTGACAAGGGGAAAGGGAAAGCGATCGTATCGCCGGGAAGGGCCAGACTAGTTCTGCCGCCTGTCAGAGTTGTTCTTCCGGACAGGTCTGCCGAGAATGCCTCTGATTCGGATTCGGAGCTTGAAATTGTAATGCCAGGAGATGAAGAGAGAATTGCCAATTCCGAGCGTAAGAAAATGGTTGATCAGCTGCGTCGAGTGAGGCGGGTGAAGCCACCGGTCGAGGTTCATGGGAAACCTAAGCTATCCGTTCGTGAGCTTGAAGCGGAACTGCGGAAAAAAGGTAGACAGCAAGCGATGCAAGAACGCGAAGAGCGAATTGAACAATTAAGGGCGAAAGGTGTGATTATTCTAACTGCTGAAGAGAAAGCCAAAACCGAACAGCAAGCTGTTGATTATATGGAGAAGGCACGCAAAGAAGCCTTGGCCATTAAGAGGAGAGAGAAGGAGGAAAAGAAAGATGGTATCAAGAAAGAGGGTGCCACTATAGATGACATGGACCCCAACGAAGACAATGAAGATGTTGACTGGCTCGAAGACGAAGATATCGTGGAAATACTATCTGGTTCTGAGGAAGATGAGGATGAGGATGAGGATGAAGGGGCCGTTAAGCCCAACGACTTCTCTGATGAGGATGAGAGCGGACTTGTGGATGGCCCAGGAAGCCCAGAGTTCCCCTCACTGTGCCCTCAAGATAATGACCTAATGTCACCGACTCCTCGGTTATCTGAGATGCCAGCTGCCTATGTTGATGAAGAAGCGGGTGAGGACTCAGACGAGAGTAATGGCGATTTCGCACCTTTCAAGACCCTCAAGAGAAGGGCTATACGGAAGAGTAAATCGCGCATTGTGGAAGAAGATGAAGACGGGGAGAGTGAAGACGATACGATTGAGTCTGAGAAGAGGATTGCGGAGTCTAAGATTCCCTCTATCTTCCGTAACAAAATTGCCCAGGCTCCTCCTGTAGGAATGACACAGCTTTTTAATGGGTTAAGTGGGCTTCCTCCAAGCGCTGAAGTCATTACAAGCCCGGGGAAAGTGAAGGAGAGGGTAGAAGCATTAAGACAGGATCCAGGGGAAGGGATTCCAAATTCACAGGGCCCCCTGGATTTCGGGGACGACATACTGGACTTGGGGCTCGTTGAGAAAAAGGGTGACAAAGATTCAGAACCGATTGAGGAGCCCTCGTTCCCAGCATTAGACCTATACTACGAGCCGTCTACACAAATGTCGAGTTTTCCTGACCCTACACAAGATGACGGATTTCTCAGGTCATCGAGCCCAGCACCTCCGAGATTTGATGAGGATGAACCATCATCGACAATGCAAATACCCGACTCACAGCCCCCCAAGAGAAAGAGGAGGAGACTCGTGAAGAGAGGCGCGGATCTTACGGCTATGGCGGAGGAGGATGAGAACGGAAAACAGAGTGACAGCGGGGGAAAGCTAGAAGAGGATATGGGGAAAAAAGAGACCGCTTTTGATGTCATGAGAAAGGCTGCAAAGAAGGAAAAAACGGCCGAAAACTTTGATAAAACGAAAAGTGGAGCGAAGGAGATGGTGCATGAACAGGCCGAGGAATCTGAGGACGAATATGCGGGTATTGGCGGTGCTAGTGACGATGAAGTGGGGGACGGACACGACAGCGACGTCGAGAAAATGATTGATGATGAAGGAAAGGAGACTGTCGACCAGGATGATATCGCAGCCTTCTGGGCTGAAAAGAACAAAGCCCAGGATGAGAAGGATGTCAGTAAACTGTTCAAAGACCTTCAGACAGGACTGTTCCGAAAAAAACGGGGCGCCGATTTTGACCTCGACGACTCGGATGATGACGATGGTGAAGCACGGAGAAGAGCCAAGAGACGGCAGATGGCAAAACTTAGAAAGGCATTAATGGCTGATGGCAATATCGAGAAACTTGCGACGAATCCTAAGAAGCTAGCTTTCCTGAGTGCAATCGAAGATAGAGACCGCGATGACGAAATGGACTTTCTTGATAAGGGCGAGGAAGATCTATTTATCGATTTGGGGCTTCTCGAAGACGGCCAAAGCTGGAATCCAAGCCAAAGCCACGATTCACGGGAGAG